GGAAACATAATTCTGGGCTGAAAATAATTGTGTTTAAGAATGTTAAAGATAGATGGCCATTCTCTTCTGACTTTGAAAGTTTCAGCTGAAAAGTATGTCATCACCTTCATGGATCTGCCCCTATTGGTCAATTAGCACTTACTCCTGGATACTTGCAGAATTTTCTCTTTTGTCTTGACTTTGGATGGGTTCATACAATGTGTCATGGAGACGCTTTGTGATAAGATGACCTGGGGTTTGATATTTCTCTGAAAGGAGTGTGTCTAAATCTTTGGTGATGCTTAGGAAATTTTCCTTTATGATATCCTCCAGTAGGGCTTTCATTCCTACATGACATTCTGTTTCCTCTTCTGAAATACCCACAATTCATATATTTGAATGCTTCATGAAGTCTTATAATTCTTGGAGTGAACTCTTAGCTTTCTTTCTCATTTTCTGCCTTTTAAACTGCCTGATTTAGCTCAAGTATTTATCCTTTAGCTATGAGATTTCTTCTTCTCTGTGGTCTAACCTACTATTAGTAGTTTCTGTTGCATCTTTAAGTTCTTTGAATGTCTCCTTCATTACTTTAAGGTCCAATATATCCTCTTGCATTTCTTCTGGTTTTTCATTCAATATTTATGTAAGCTTTCAATTTTGTTTTTGGTTATTTTCCACTTTGCATTCAATTACCTTCATTGCTTTTCTGCTCATATTTTACATTCTTTTTCTGTCAATTCCTTAATTTCTTTATAGGTGGCAGCCTCTGCATTAGGTATCTAATGGTTCCTGGTGGGGAGGAGTGATCTGTTGCAATTTTTAATTTTGATAGAATTGTTCTGTTGGTTCCCCCTCGTGAGTGTTTTTTTCTTGTTCACTTCTTTCTCCTACTTTTTCTTTTCACTTTCTCCTTCTCTTTAAATTATTTTGTCATTACCCTTAAGTGTTTTAGTGTTCTTTTGCCATGGGGCCAAAAGGAAAAGAAGAGCAAAGAGTGAGAAGGGAGAAAAGAAAGAAAATTAGAAAAAGGAACAAGGAGTAAAAGGGGAAAAAGATGTTAAAAGGAACCAAGGAGAACGGAAATAGAAAGTATTAGTATGAGTATTAGTCTTGGGCAGCAGGTTGCTTTGAACCACACTGGGGGGCCATGCTGGGTACATTCCTCTGGCCAGGAGCTCCATTCTAGCCTGAGCAAAATCAAGGTACCTCCTCTGCCAAATACACACAGACACACACACAAAAATAGCCATATGTTGCAGTGGGGTTCTACCAATAGCTTCCTTCCATAGGCCAAAGCAAGAACAATCTGCTAGATTAGGGGCTCAAGGACTTCTTGAGCCATGCCACTGCTGTGGAAACCCAGAACAGTCCTCAGAGTGAGGTTCTGTTCAATAAATGGAATATAGAATGAAATAGAATAAGATAGATCAGAAAAAAAGTAATAATAAGGAATGTATATAAAGGTGATTGAAAATAAAATTATATAACATGTAAGAGAAGTAACATCTTAGTTGTTGTCTGAGAAATTTATGAGAGATAGATAAGAAATATATCAAAAATCTCTACAAAAAGAAAGAGAAAATGAGAGAAATTAAAAGGAAAGATAGAATAAAAAGAATAGAAAAACCATAGGAAAAATGGAGCCCTTATTATTGAAGGAAGTAAAAATGGAAAAATAAAAATACAACAAAACAAAACAAAATTATAGAAAACAAAACAAGAAGTCCTATGGAAAATAATTGAAAAAAGAAAGAAAAGGAGTAGAAAAACCACAGAACAGATGGAGCCCTTACTACTGAAGAAACTAAAACTAAAAAAAAAAAAAAAAAACAGAAAATACATCAAAACAAAAAACTAAGGAAAACAAATTTAATAATGAATAAAAAACTAAGGAAAACAAATTTAATATATTGCCTGGACACCAAGTATTGCTCTGAGGTAGGACATGCTGATCATGCTAATAATTCTGCTCTACAAAATGGTGGCTGCATGCCCCTATCTAGTTGCCTAAGAGACTCCATCCTGTCTTACTATTTTGCCCTCAATCCCACATGGTTGAGAGCCTGAGGCTCTACCCAGACCACTTAAGAGACACACCTCAACCTTACCAAATAGTGCCCTTTGGCCCCAAAGTGGCTTTCCTAGGGAGAGAGTGGGATCTTCCCATCTTCCTCCCTCATGTGCACCTGTCACCTCAACAGGCATACCATAATCGGCCTAGTTCTTGGACCCTATGGGCTGTTCCTTCTAGGAAGCCCTTCCACAATAGTGGTGCCCTGCTAGCAGCTGAACCACAAGAACTCCTCTCCACCTCATGGCTCAATCCTGGCTTCCAGGTACTGTTCAAGTTCATTCACTTGCTTAAGCTCTCCCAAGGTAGCTCTGGAGAGTATCCAAGTCCAAGAAACACTGCATGGTAGACCTTTCCTATCTCTAGCCCACCACTGGAGGGCAGGCTGCCCTCCCCCAGAACACAAGCACCCAATTTCTATGCTAGTCTTCACTACTCCTGACTTTCTTGTGTCCTGAAGTCTCCAGCTATTTCTCTGGGCTTCCAAAATGACATTTCTGGGCAGGACACCCAAGCCAGAGGTGGCTGGAGTCCTCTCTCTCTAGTCTCACCACGAGTGGCTGCTAAAGAGATGTCTATAGTCTGTGATCTTAATGTATTTTTTGAAGTTAGGTTTTTGTTTGTTTGTTTGTTTTGTTTTTTAAAGAGACAAAGGAAGAAGCTATAAATAATTCCTCCTTACTGGGCAATACTTTTTTGGCCAAGGGTATATGTACTCTGAACGAGTAACAGTTTATTTTAAAATTTTCTAAAATTTAGATAGAATGGCCTTTTACTTAATCTTGAATTATTGTGCTTATTTTTAATATGGAGTGATACCATGAAATTTTCATTTACTTTTCTATCTGTTTTATTTTTGCTTTGTTTATAATATTTGTCTCCTTTTCTCTTGGGAATAGGAATGCCAGTGTTTTCAAAGCCTTGGGTTTGGAGGTGAGAAGTTAAATAGAAGTATTGTAGCAATAAGGTAGATAAAGCTAAAGCAACTTCCACTATTTGGGAGTGAGAAGTTAGCTAGAATTATTGTAGCAATAAGGCAGATAAAGCTAATGCAACTTCCACTATTAGCTCCACCCCACTCTGATCTAATAAACGAAGTCTAGGAGCTCTGCACAAGTAGGAGACTAACAGTATATCTTCTATATATTTCTGGTGGTGGTAGTCACCAATAGTAAGAAAGCATTCAAATGGAAAAATAAGAAGAAGCTTCTAAGTTACTATGATTAAGTAAAATAATTACCATGAAGTAACAGAAAATGCCATTGTTCTCAAAATTAAAGGATACCAGTTGAAAAGTTTATGGGCAACTGAATAATAGTTTATTTTTATGACTAATTTAAAATATACCATAAAAAATAACTGTTAGAACATAAAAGAAATAGTTTTTGAAAGAGTTTTCAGAGCTCATAGAAAAGTCTTCAAAGACAGAATTAAAGTCAATTAATCCATAAAAAGGGATTACAAGAAAGACCTTGTGAACTATTTCATCAATATCTCCAAGTATCTTTTACTATGGAAATTTATTCAGATTACCAGACTAAAAGAAAAGATGGTAATAAAATCAAACTTCAATTTGTATTATCTCTTAGGTACTAGTAGTGTCAATCAATTTACATGGGGAAATCTGACAAATTATCAATAAACCAAATTGCATAAAATGCAATTTTGGAGTTAGAAGGAACAAAAAGAACTTTTTGTCCCCACATTTTGCAGATAGGAAAACAGTTTGTTGGTAAAAAATTTACAAAAATAGCACTCAGTTCCCCTGACTTTCAATCAGCTATTATTTCTACTAAACCACACAGTTTATTTATGCTAGAATTAATAACTGAACACAATCCCTTCCATTTTTCTAGTATTGAAAAGGTTTCTTTAGTCTGACAATGGTGAAAGTATTACATTTTTTGTGCAATATACCTTAGAGATTGACTAGCATTCTTGAGATAATTCAATTTTAATCATTAGCACATATGAACTATAAGCAATTATTTTGCCTTCATTTATTGTATTGTATTAAATCATAGCTTAAAGACATCAGGACCTTTGAAGCCACCACATGCTGACAATATTTGGATTTCTTATTTTCAAAGTTAAAATTAAATAAAATTATAAATATAAGAAATTAGTATTCAATCCTGGATTGAATATTTTTCCTAAATTAAATGAGGCTAATTACTCTAAAACTGCACTAATATGGCAGCCATTAGCCACATGTGTCTATTAAGTACTTAAAATATGGGTAATTAAGATTTACATGAGCTGTAAGTGTAAAATACACACCATAATTTAAATACTTAGTATGAGAAAAAGAATGTAAAGTATCTCACTAATATTTTTATGTTGATTAGATGTTGAAGTGATATTTTGGATATAGTGCATTAAGGAACATATTAAATTAATTTTGCTTTTTAAATTTTGCTATGTGGCTACTAGAAATTTTAAAAGCATATTTCTGGTTTGCACTGTATTTCCACTGTACTGCTCTCATAGAGTATTCATAATAAATAATAAATATCTAGGTGCTACTGGTGAACAATCCATATAATCTATATGACTGAATTAACATTGTAAAAATCACCTATACAATTAATAGTTGATTTCTTTGCTAAACAGAAAATGGAAAAATATACTAAATCCAGAAATAAACTTCAGTTAGCTTTAAATACGTATGTATTGGTCTTCAGATTTACATTTTTTGCATTGGTTAATACAGAAACTAATGTACATAACCTTAACATATATAAACTTGTAAGAAAGAAATGTGGTCCAGAAAAATGCCAGCAGAAAAAGTCAGCCTTTGCTTTGTTCAATCTTCACATAGATGTTGACTTAATTCAAAACAAATACTGACATAAGACACCATCAGATACTCTGCAAATATACACCAGGCTATGATTTAAGATGATAGCATTTTCACATGAATGCAACAAAACATTTTTACAATTTATACCTTTGCACGATCTGAAATAGTCTCCCAGTTTCCACCACTTAAAGAGAACTTTCCATTTCCTATCTGCAGCAGTATCTCTTCCGGAGTATCATTGGGGCCATTAGAAAATGGAGTATAGCTATTGATAAAATACATTTTAGACATGAAAGGCTAAAATAGATATAATTGAAATTGATTAATTCAGTAATACTACATGAAATTTTTACAGAAAAATTATAATTCCGTCTAACTTTTCCCTTCACTGTTAATAACAAATTTTACACTTCAAACGATAAATTTAGTCCTAACATATTATTTAATAAAATTGAAAATCTTACCTACATTAATTCTTTGCTTCATATTTTAATAATGTAAAATAAGATACAGGTAGCTTTACATGTAAAGCTATAGTCTTAAAACAAGACCATAATGAAATATTTTGTTGGTCTGGTTTTAAAACAAATTAACAATACTTTTAACTTAAATTTATAAAAAAGGGATGGTTAAATATTTATATTAAAAATTCCATAGCCATTCTAATGAAAATTATTATGTAGACCAATATTCATGGCTGGGAAAATGAATATGTGAAGTTAAAATAGTTTTAAAAATTAGAGATTGACAAAAGGTAATACTTTTTATACTATTTTACATATGAAACTGATTTGCTATTCAAATTTGAAAATGAGAAGAATGATTTATGGTTAAAGGTATGGGGAATATATCTAAATGCGCTAATGTCTTAATCACCTCAAGTAGCAGTTAAGATGAAATAATATTAAATGCACACACACATGTACAATCACTTTTTGTTTAGTTATGAAGTAAATATTTGAGAGCAACAATCTAGAATGATATCTCATGGTTTAAAATCAATAATGTTAATTGTACTTGATATGAAAATCTTAGCTACCCTTAACTTCAGCACTTTCTGTCATCTATAACTTAATATTCAGAAAAAAATTGTAGTATCTAAAAGTAGACTGAAATATGTAATTATCACCAAACCAATAAATAATTTAGAGTCACTATTTTTATAACAGAAAGCTCTTGGTATGCCAAGCATATTTAAATTACATTAAATGTACTCTTTAATCATCATATCTGGGTACAATATGTATAATTACTTGCTTAGCCTGGCCTTTTTCTCTATCACAACTCTCTTAGAATATGAAGCCTTAAGTTTTCATTTCTAAATAAAAGTGATATTCTTTACTAAGAGTAAGACAGCACTTGTATTATATGTATATTACCAACATCAAAATAGTTTAATTGTTATTACATATGTTTTCAGCTTTTCTTTATCCTTTTAAAGGAAGGCAGCTATGTGAGTTTCAATTTAGCACTGCTATTATTTAGATTTTTACAATCTTATTGAATCTCTATTGCCAGGAGAACTAGAATTCAAGTACTTAAAAAAACAAACTTAACTCAATATTAACAAGTACAGTGGGCAAGTTCCTGGTGAAACATGCAATTGTTTTATGATTGAGGAAACATTTTCAAGAGATTAATGCACTCAATGTAAAAAGTAAAAATAAAAAGGTACATTTTTAAATGTTTAGTTACAGTTGAAAAGTCTTTTAATTACTATATCTTAACAGTGCCTCATACATCTTACTTTTTTAACTTTATAGGTAAAAAATTAAAATTCTCTTATCATTTATATTAAAGCTATTTTAATTTGTCCTCCTTCTAGATGACGATATACAGGTAAAAGTCAAATACTAATGTGAACACTTTTGAGTATATAAGCTTCTTACCCAGCCAACATTGTGTAAAAAAGGACTCCTAAACTCCAAATATCACAAGCCGCATCGTATCCCTGTTGCATAAGAACCTAAGAAAGAAACAGTTATTATGCAGTTTCACTCAATATAAACTAAATTTTCTAAATTAAAAGAAAGTTGTTTTGCTTCTAATAATTTCACAAATGTTCCCAATATAAAAACTTACATTATTTTATTTACTTAATGTTAAAGGTAAAGACTTCTGAAATAGCAAGCATTGAATAAATGGTATTATTGTAAGGTGATTAATATAAGACATACCAAAACCAACCTTGTAAGACATGATCTCTGACCTGAATGGGCTTTCCCTCCTCCTCTTAGTAAACCAGCTATACCGACCTTGGAACTTGAGATTAATATGTACACAGAGTTTAATATATACTACATATAATACTAAGGCTTTTTATTATGACACCAACTCTACAAGTTAGAGCTTATTGTTCTAAGTTTGAGGATAGGTAAACATAGGTGAATGTTAAGTAACTTGTCCCAAATCACAAAACTAGTAAGTAGTAGAACAGGTATTCTTACTCTAGAGCCTATAATTTTACTATCTATGACAACTGTCTTTGTACTATACACGAGATGGTAAGATAACATATGATCTTACAAAAACAGTATGAATTTATATTTTACGTACTTGGCTGATATCTTAAAAAGAATAGTATATTTATGGACCACGTTGATAAATTATGGATGCCTTCATTAATTTTTCATACAATAATTAAGTAGTGATTTTTTACTCTTTGGGACGGTTTTAATAAAAAGCAAATAATATCTTCATTATATATTCATGTGCTATTTCTCTATGAGGTTAAAAGAGTTTGTTAGAAAAATAAAGAGATGAAATGAGGGTTTTTTTGTCATTTACAAAAACAAGGCCACTGCTAAAACTTCTATGCATAGGAACAAATAGAAACGTTATTAATGCATTAATATTGGGGATTGCACGAACATTAACACAAGCTGTTCATCTATAAAGGGCTGATATTGTTTGGTTGACAATTGTCAGACATGAATAATGAGTATGCAACTAACTTAAAATTTGATATAGAATGTTTTTTCCTTATCAAAGTGTATTTATAAGGATATAATTGTGTGCAAAATTGAGATGATAAAGAGGATATATAATATAAATGTAATATATATATATATGCACACACATAATTTGCTTACATAAATAATACAAGTAGAGACTACAAGGGTCCTGATGAATAACAAGGTAGAGATAAACAACTCATATCATGGTAAATGTAAGTTGCCATAGTCTAGTAAAACAAAAATTTTACTGCTTTTATTCTTCTGTCTTTTTCTCATCTTATCTTAGAGTTCTCAGCATCACCATGTTTTCTGTAATTCCATTAGTAAGCCTTTTAAAAGGTTTCTAGGTGATCCAATGCACAGCCAATGTTGAGCACCACTACTTAGGAACTATTAATTAGTAGTTAGAAAAATGAGGACTAATCATCAAGTCAGCTATAGGAATTTTATACTCTTATAACCTTACAACTTATATGAAGGATAGAGTTACACAGAAGTATCACATTCCTTATAGGACTGACCATGAAAAACTTATTTTAAATTTACTACAAACTTAAATACATTTTGTATGAGTAGAGAAGAGGCAGTCCACTATTGTCCTAGAGTTAGTTGCAAGACCATTTAACAGTGAAAATGGGAGTCAGATTTTTCCTAACGTGGAGTAATAAATTGTTGAGGTGATGAATAACCTAATTTTTCTGATTCAATAATTACACATTGTAAGTTTGCATTAAAATATCACATGTGCCCCATAAATATGTACAATATATATCCACAATAATTAAAATAAAAATAAAAACACAAAAAATAGAAAAATGGGAGTGGGTTAGTTATCACAAGAGTACACTTGTTATAAAAGGGAGTTTGGCCACCTCTTATATTCTTGTGAGTTTTCTCTTGCATGTGATGTCATCTGTCATAGGATGATGCAGCAACAAGGCCCTCACCAGTTGGGGTCCTGTGATCTGATCTTGGACTTCCCATCTCTGAGACACATGATTTAGTCAACAGCCAAAAAATTTCTATTGTTTGCAATTTTTAATTGAAAATAAAGGAAAAAAAGCAGCATAGTGCAATAGAATACAGAGGGTGTGGTTCATACCTTTTTATTTTCACCAAGTTAAATACAAAACCAAAAGTCACAATTAAAGTAGTTATTGCCATGACCTTTCTGGTTCCCAAAGTTAGCAGACAGTAACATACACAGAGGTACTCATTCCCTTTTCTTTGGAGTTCAAATTAATTCTTAGTTGGAACAAAATATATAATAGCCCAGAGCCAGAGCAAATAAAGGTAACTATAGAATTATTTTATCAAGAGATGTAAAACATCCCTCAACTTTACTGTAGGCTCCATTAATTCAGGGATATTCTTAGACTTAAGTATGTATTAAATATCACTTGAGTAAGAATAGATTTTTCTTTATAAAAATAAAATATTTTAGAGATATATTAAGTTTTATAACAGGTATAACAGAAAACCACATCTACTCAGTAAACCTTCAGATGTTGATTTAACTGATGCATATCCTAAAAGTGAATGAATATTCTCTTCTTACTGTTAAGCTAAAATTGCAATAATCAGTTGCTCTTTCAGCAAACAAGAAATCTTTTTTTTTTTTTTTTTTTTTGCAGTTTTTTGCCAGGGCTGGGTTTGAACCCACCACCTCTGGCATATGGGATCAGGGCCAGGCCCTACTCCTTTGAGCCACAGGCGACGCCTACAAACAAGAATTCTTCATGCACTGTGATGAACAAAGTGTAACTTCTTAACCGCTATTGTTTATTGAAATGTCTCTATGGACACAGAAACCTTTCTGATTCTATTTTAAAATTGAATGGCATTTTGTATATATGATATACATACGATATACATATATATATATATATAACATATATTTTACTAATATCTATTGAAAGAGTCTGAAATTTTATTTCTTTATTTATTTTATTTTATTCATTTATTTTTTTGGGACAGAGTCTCACTATGTAGCCTTTGGTAGAGTGCCGTAGTGTCAAAGCTCACAGAAACTTCAATCTCTTGGGCTTAAATGATTCTTTTTCCTTAGCCTCTCAAGTAGCTGGGACTATAGGTACCCGCCACAATGTCTGGCTATTTTTTGTTGCAGTTGTCATTGTTGATTAGCTGGCCTATGCAGGGGTTGAACTTGCCACCCTTGACATATGTGGCTGGCGCCATAACCATTGTCCTACAGGTGCCACACCAAGAGTCTGAAATTTTAGACACAAACCTTATAAAAATGTCCTCTTTAATTCATTCAGAATAATTTACAAATATTTAATGATTCCTAGCAGAGCCTTGAGGATTCAATAATAAAACTTGGAAAGCATTTTGAAAACACAAATACTAGCCAAAGTTAGTTCAGTTAGTAGTTATGGAGAAATGGTTTTCACATGCCCACCTGAAAACCTTCACTATGACAATGGTGAAAGTGTCCACTATAGTGGAAATATGTTTGGATAATAGGCAACAGTGGGCTGTATTCTACTCTGTGGATTTCCACTTACTTGAAAATATTTACCTAATGATTAATCTAAAAAATTTTATCTAACCATTAATCTAAAAATGTTTACCTAACCATTAATCTAAACAGAGAAAAAGAGATATGCTAGATATTTTTTATTTTAATGTCGATTTTTGAGATATTAATTTGGGACATATTTACCTCTAACCTTGTTTCAGTGAGAAGCTTCCATAATATTGAGGAGTTTACCTCTGTAAAATTAAATTAATATTAAGAATTTGGTCATTAAAATGGCTATTCTCTATACTGTTATGTCTACTGCATAAATGTATTAGAATATTTACAATGACCGTATAAGCTATATTAAACAGGCTAGCACTAATCTCAAATATTCTATCCTCATATCCTAAAAGCCATTGAAATGTGCTAGAAAAAGTAATTTTTTTTAATGTACAGCGTATTATCTCACATACCTTAGGGCAGTTCAATAACTTCTTATTTTATTATGTGTCCCAATTTCTATTTTAGAAAATATACTTTCTATTTGTTGCAACACAACAAAAATTTGCACATTTAATAGTTTATGAATTTTATTAAAATACAGATAAAAACACATTCCCCAGATATATACATACTTTCTTTTAGGGTTAATCTCTAACTATAAAGAGCTTATAAAGCAAACATTCAATATCAATATCCTAAGGAAAGATTCTAAAATTTTACAATGAATTTTTTTTATTAAGCGATCCCTCACCTCATATACTTAATTATTGTGTTAAGACATTTATACTCTATGCTTAATAGATCTGGCTTGTACCCTTGAATGTGCACAATGGGTATGATCCCACCATTCACCCTAAGCATTCCTAATTGCATATGAAATCATCACATTGTACCCCATAAATGCATTAATGTATAGATGGCATATGTGTTTATGATTTAATAAAAAAAAGGAGAAAGTTTTTTGTTATTGGAAAATTGTAGCAGACCATATAAAGGAGAAGCAAGATTAAGCTCAGAACACTCTGTAAATATAAGAAACACCTGTGACATGACATCTTGGTAACACCTTGGTGACAAGGGCATAGGGAAGGGATTCTTCTCTCCTTTACATGAGAGCATGTGAGACAAGAACATCAGTGCTTAGCAGTCTCTACATCTGTGGTACAAATAGCCATGGGATCACGTCTATAAGTAGCCACAGGAGAAGTTAGTCCAAGTTCAGTTCTCATTCTTTCACAGACTCTCTCACTCTAACTCTTTCACTCCTCCTGCTCAAAAAGCATCGTCTAGTGCCGCTCTATGAAGATTGCTAAGATTCACTCTCCTACTACGACTGTTTCACTCCCTCAAAGACTATTTTTTTACTCTCCCTTCCGCTAAGCCAAGTAGCCCTCAGTCACCTAAGGGAAGTTTATCTCAAATAAGGTAGCACAGTGGACTGAGTCTGGACAACAGATAAACTGGGGCCAGAAATCTGGCCAGTCCCAGGCCCCAATAATTGGCCATGAGGATGGGATAGTGGAAGTCACTGGGAAACGGTGTAGTGGCAGGATAATGGATGCAAACTGAAGGGAAAATAAGCTTGTAGAAAATAAAAGAAAAAGAGAGAAGAGAAATATATAGATAAAGATGGAAAAGAAATATATAAGAAAAAGACAGCCAACAAAAGTCCTTCCTCATTTCCTTTCTTCCCTTCTTTGCTGCACTTTCTCTTTCCAAATCCTAATCA